CTCATAATCAGTGGATCAAAGTGGATCCTCGTTATATCATTTTAACTCATAATTTGTAGCAGGAAAAAGAAGACAGATTTTTAAATCAAAATTCAAGCTTTAAAAAGAAAAGCCAAATGTTGGTTTGTTGGCTAAATATATGAATCCGTTTGCTTCTTGCATTTTAATCATCTCATTTTAATAACACACCACAATACAAACAATTGTGTGGGTTAATTCAGCTCCATTTAAGAAGTCTTGTTCTGTACGCCAGAGCTTGTTGTTCTGTCTAGTTAAATGCTCATGCATTAAAATGCTAATAATTAAACTGTTACGATTGACTAATGAACTCTGCCAGCGATAAATGATGGTCTTGTTAGATTCGCTGTGCAGCAAGCTCCCTTTGTACTGAGAAAGTTAAAGGTTAAAGTGCTCTTGAAACCAGTGAGTGGATCTAGAAGCAATTACAATTTTTCCTTGAAACTAATAGTTACTACAATAATGTTTCAATTCCAACCCAGTAAGAGTAAAAGGAATAAAGAGGGAGGGGATGACTCTGAGCTCTATTCATGGAGAAGGACGTGGAGCTTTATTTAGTCCACAAGGCAGATGGCGTGGTCATTCAGACTAAAGCCCACTTAGTTACAAACATCCTTCTTGGAACCCAGTCTCCCAAGGATGCGAAGGGAGATGATGACTTTTCAGGACACAGCAGCAGGTGACCCAAGCTTTGTGGTGTTATTTGGAACACAATGGTTAAGTAGTGCAGGAAATTGCTCCCCAGCTCTCTGTGTGATTTGGGGAAAGTTGCTTAATCTCTCTGGACCTCAATTGTCTCATTTTCAAAAGCGAGATAATAACAACAGCTCTCCACGCCGAACAATCACTTTGTCTTGGAGCAGCCGGTTGCCATTCTGGGGTCGTGGCCTCTGGTTTCCCTCACAGGGCATCACTTCCTGGCTCTTGCACAGGATTTGGTGAGAATTGATGTCAACCACGCATGTTCCAGGGGTGAGCATGTGACGCAGGTCTGACCAATCAGAGCATCACACTTGTCTGTTCAAAAGTGAGCCTCATAAGAACAGGTTAGTAAAATGCCAGAGCTCTAGCCAAAGCAATCTAGACAGAAGCACCCCCTTTTCCTAAACTGGATCCTGGAAGGGCGTGAGCCTGGGCGCATGGAGATGGCCTTCCTCTCACAGGTAGAGCAGAGCTGAGGCTCAGGAGCTGGGTCCAGCTCACTCTGGTTTTCAATGACAAGAGCCTTTTCTTCTCCCCGTAAGCCAGGTTGAGTTGAATTTCTGTTGCTGGCCACCGACAGAGTATGCCAGGGTTATGACAGCATTAAGTGAATGCACACATGGTGCTTTAGAAGATTCCCAATACACTGTGACAAGGATGACAAAAGGGAAATCAGGAAATGGACCAGCAGGACAGTGTGGCTTCGGCCCCTTCCTGTGTGTTGTTATGTGGATCCTCAAAGCCACAGGACTTAAGTCACTTGGGGGCTTCCTTTCCTGAAGACTCTCCGTACCCTTTTCCAACTATACCTTTTTTTTCCCCCATAAAGGAAGCAGTCTGTGAAAAAAGATCATGCACTCCATTCCTCGGCAATATTCCTTGTGTTCTGAATGATCTCTGGATGCCAACTCAGTGGTGGCCACATTTAATCAGCCAGCCAGGTTTTGAGCATATGCTGAGAGCCTGTGTTTGGAAGGGTTATGTGGAGGGAAAAGCTTAGGCTCTTAATCATAGTACTGTCTAGGTGACCTTAAGAAGGTCACTGCCCCTCTCTGAGACTCCTCATCTCTAGAAGAAGGAGGAGGATAAAAACCCCTGTCTTCAATGGATGTTGAGGGTGATTTAGGAGGAATGGGAAAGCACAATGGTTAACCACTTACATGGAAGATCTTTAGTTTTTATATATACCTTTGTATAGTGTGAAGCAAAAGCCCAATATAAATATATGGGGATGACTATATAATCTTATATATGCTTATTCTAGGTATTCCTTATCTCCCTGATAAGTTAATTCTTTAGATGAATGTTTGTTAAGCATCTACTATGTGTGCGAGCCTGTGAGAGGTGGGAGGGATATAGCTATGTGGAATTAGACACAGCCTCAGCTTTTATGAAGTTTGTAGCCTAGTGGGGGCCAATGGAACCTGGCACAATAAATGTCTAATTACAAATGAGGTTAGTCCTGTGATGGAAAAAAATGGAGAGTGTAGAAGAATAAGAAAGGAGAGCTGTGTTTGAACAGTCAGGACGGGAGGCCACTGCAGCTCTCTGAGGACGCGAGTTTTGACAGAGATGAGCAGGGTGAGAGAGAATCAGGACCATGAGGGGGAAGAAGAGCGGTCTAGGCCAGTGCAGCAGCAGCAGCCAGAATAAAGCCTCAAGGCCCAGAGGAACCAGGCTCTGGGAGCCTCTGAGACCAGATCTTAGCTTCTCCAATGCCAGGGGCTTCTAGCATAGCGTGACACAGAGCCAGCTACCAGGGAGAAGAGCATGCGGGTCTGTAGGACTGTTTGCCTGCAGTCCCATCTCTTTCTTCCAAGCACAAGGTTGGGAAGCTTTCCCCTTCTGTTGTCATTGGGCATGGAAATGTGACTTGCATTGGTCAACAGGATGTGGCCAGAAGTGATGTGGGTCACTTTCTGTTCAAAGCTTTAAGACCCCAAACTCGGTTCACCTTGTTTCTCTCCTCCTGCCCCAGCCTGGCTCTGCTGCCCAGCAGAAGCTCTGTAGGTCTGCACCTTCGAGGGAGACGATGTGGAATAGACATCCCTTGACCCACATGGACGTGGAATAAGAGTTAGAAAGAAATGCTTGCTGTGCTCAACCCCAGAGATTATGGTGTGCTTTGATTATGACAGTATTGTATACATTGAAATATCCTATACAAATTCTAATGACATGATAATGATGTAGGGAAATGGGAGCCCTACTGCCTGAACCCTGGGGAAGCCTACAGACTGTTCCAGAATTTCCTCGCTCAAGAACAGCACACTGGAGCCCTAACCCACAGGCTCTGTCCTCTCCTGCAGCAGGGACCCTCTTCTGCAATTCCATATTGTACATGTAGGTGGGATCCCCTGACTATGAAGAAAGTTCTAAGAAGAAAAGATGGAGACACTCAGCATGCCCTTGAAGTAAGGCTCTGCCAGCACCCACAGAACTGCCCACTGCCTGTGGCGATGTCAGACATAGCCTGAGAAGTGACACAGTTCACAGACAGCAGCTGCCACAATCTGGTAATGAAGGCTCCACCAGCAGCATCTCTGAGAAGCCTGCAGACTGTCTCCCCAAATTTTCTTCCAGAGAAGAATAAATATGGAAGTCTTTTTTCTTTCTTGGGAAAGAAAAAAGCAAAGATAGAAATGGGGACCGAACTTCTTAGTACCTAGGAAAGTAGCTGGCATGTAGTGGGCACTCAGTAAATATTAGATGTGTGAATGCACAAATGGATGGATGGATAAATAGATGGAAGGAAGGAAGGATGGATAGATGAATGGAAAGATGGATGGATAGAAGACAGGGTAAATGGATGAATGGATGGAAAGAAGGAAGGATAGATGGAAGGATGGATGAGTGGATGGGTGGGTAGATGGATAAAAGGTGTCATTGGGAGATTTAAGGATGGGATGGAGGCTGAGGATAACCCTGCTCCCAACTAGCAGAGGTGGATACTGAGAGTGTGGGTACCAACCCTGACATCTTCCTAGTGCCCATGAGGGAATCTTTGGGAGAGATGAGACAGGCTCAGGTGGCACCGAAGCACTCCCTGAGTCTTTTAAACTCCCATATCCCAACTCCACCTTCTCACAGACATGAAGCAACTAAGTCTGATTCCAGGCTCATATTCTGGCCCAAAGCCTTGGAGCAAGAGGCAGGTCCCAGAGTAGGGGGCGGGGGCTCAAACTTGGACAGCTGTAAGAATTCTCCTTCATGGATCTACTCCAGGGCAGCAAAAGCCCAACTGGAAGCCCAAGTGGAAGTTAATGGGAAAACCATTCCATGCACTTAATGAATTTCTAAAAATCATTTGTTAACACTGTAAGACCTTGAAACTTAATTGTTTAAAAGACTCTCAGTCTATTGACTCCATAAATGTGTTTTAGATTTATGTTTTAATGTAACAATAAGCAGTGTGCGTGTAAATGTGCCAACACACTTCATTCAGCACCACCACTCTGCAGCCGGCTGCTCTGTATCAGGGTGGTGCCCACCTGCCCATTCACAGAAACGCTGTCTGGTTTTCATGTCACTGTCTGTCATCCCATGCAGGTGAGCGGCAGTGGAGGTGAATCAGTATGTCTGCCCTCCTGAGCCAGTAAGGTGCATCTCTACATGTACAGCCTGCTCAGTGGCCACCGATCTGGCGAGCAGAATCTGTGGCTGATGGCTGCAGCAAGCAGCATTCATGGGAAGGGACATCCTGAGCCCCAGAAGGCAAAGAGTGCCAGGAATATGAGCTGTGAGGTCTCGTTAATGAGGGGCACTGAGGCAGCTCCCGAATGCCAGGCTACCTGGAGAATCTGGCGGAGGTCTTATCAAGAGCAACGTGCTCTTTTCTTTTCAGCTGGCAATGTGGGACCAAATTCATAGGAAGGGGGTTTACAAGATGCACAAAGTCAACTGCTCAGCCATTTCCATACTGGCTGAGTCCATCCTTGACTCCTGTTTTCAACACCCTGTTTGGAGAATGATGCAGAAATCCTGCAAAGGGGCCAGAGGGAGGTGACAATCACGTGGCAGTATTGCCAAGCAGTATTGTGTTTTGCACTATGTGGGGGGAATCAAGGGAGCACTGAGATGGGGAGATGGATAAAGACCTGACTAACCACTTGCAGGTCTGCAGGGGATTTTCAGGGGTGTGCCTGACCTGGCTTATTTCTAGATGGCGATGGTGGGTTTGTTGTTGTTGTTTTAATAAAGCAGGAGGGACTGGTGTTAGATCTGAGGAAGGCCATCTTGAGGTAAAGGTTATTTATGGCTGCAATGATTTCTTTTACCAGGCTTGGGAACTGGATCCAGAGCCTCGCACATGCTAGTCAAGTGCTCTACCACTGAGATAGCCCCAGTCCCAGCCCGGATCTTCTGATTAAGGTAGTAGAACCTGCCCCATCCTGAAAACCCTTAGGAATCTGTCTTCTGAATTCTAGGCAAATATTTGCTGGAGATGTAATTTGATTTGACAACTCTTAACACCCCCAGCCCTCATCCCACAAAACAAAACAAAAAATAGTGAAAAACCTCTCCTCTCATTTCCCATCTTAAATTTCTACCTAAGTGCATTTCTCAGAGGCAAACATAGCAACACCAAATTTGTATATTTCAAGTAAGTTCTTTTTCTGACTGTGTGTTTATTGTAGGCAATTGGGGAAACACTGTGGAGGGTCAGTCCTGTTAATCCCTGGGCCTGAGCAGAGATCCCGGTCATGAGCCTAGTCTAGGGCCAGGGTGACCATCACATAGCCCTGTGAGGGCCTGGCACTTCCTCTCTGGACAAGAGTTTACCAGCATCTGAGTCCTGACCTCGACATTTCTCATTTCTGTCAGAGTCGAGTCTGAAGATTTCTACTGCATGTTTTTTTTTTTTCCCCCATGTAAAACTTCCTGGGGACAAAAATCAACGTCACCCTTCACGTTGCCAGTTTTCTTGCCCGCTTTGTTGGCATGGGTCACAATTAGGACAAGCCAGGCTGACTGGTGGGAACTCAATCTCTGCGAGGTGAACCAAGTCACTCACTCCAGACCCCGATTCTACCTCTTCAGAAAACAGTGCCTTGGTCTGGTCCTTGCATAGTTCCAAGGCTTGGCGGCCCACAGTGTGGTCCCAGGTGGCCACCATGGCCACAATGGCCTTGTCTGGCTGTCAGAGGACCCCACTGGGCATATTGCCTTCCTGGGGTCTTAGCAAGGAATGCATTTCCACCGGAACCACATCCGGGCCTCACCTAGCCTCTGACAGGAGACACCTGCAGCCCTTCACCCACACCGGAGGCGGGTCCCAGCTGCTGGTCTGGAATCCTGAGAAAGTGCCCAGCTCCAGTCTTCCCCACATCCAAGGACAGCCGGCGGCTCAGAAGACCACCTGTTTGAGTAACAGAGAATCACTTGATGCTTCATTTAAAGTCACCAGAGAATAAGCACATTGGAGCATTAAAACACTGTCAATTTGATACTTTTTGGAATACGAAAAAAGCATTAAGCGAGACAAGGCAGAGACACATGAAGTCAACTGCTCCACTATTGCCACCCTTTCCTGGGTATCCAGTGCCCGCCAGGCCTTTGGTCCCACAGGCCTCATAGCACTCCCTTGGGAATGCTGTGCATTTTCAAGTAACACAGAAGGAGATGGAATCCCACTTTATAAACTTTTCTCAAACGATCTTGCTTTGTTATACTCGGCTACAGATCGGTGATTCTGAACCTACCTTGATCTCTTTTCTTTTTTTGACACTTACACACACCCACACACATATAATTTACACATTTAAGGTTTCTCACGTATGCTGTTTTTAAACACAGGCTTTTTAAATCCTTGCTTCCCCTACTGTTCCTGCACCACCTACTTTCAACTCATAACCTGCTATGCATCCTTCTGGACCTTATTCTGTGCTTGTATTGTAATATATATATATATATAAAATCATAATATATATGATATAAGCACAGAATATTATATAATATATAATATAATTATATATTATGTTTATGTATTATGATATATATTATGATACATAATATTATAATATATAAACCACATCCGAGGTATATACATATTTTATACTCACCACTGTGCTGGTTTTTTTTTTTTTTCATGCCCCAACATGTCTGGGAAAGGGAGGCAATCAAATAATGACATTCTCACTCACTCGCAGTGGGAGTGAACCCGCATTTATTTGAACATTCTCCCACTAAGGGTGTTCACTTTATCTCTTTATTTTGGCTGCTACAAACAGTGGTGTGCCACACATCCTTGTGTGCTTAGCTGGGAGTCCGTGTCTTCAAGTCATCATTCGTCCACTGCAGAGGAATGTAGACTCTAGGAGTGAAAATCTTGAGACTCTGGATAATGGAAGAGAGAAAACAGAAAACCAGCGATGTATACGGTGCAAGCAAGCAGCTTCTGAGGTTGGAACATTTTCTGCCCTTGTCCCTAAGTAGTTCCTAGAGTCTCTTTGGCCTTTCTATAGTCAGAGTCAGAGCAATGGTCCTACACTACCCAAATTCTGCCTAAGGCTGGTATGGGACAGCGTTGTGCCGTCGAGGCAGACTCCTTGCTCAGAAGTGTCCCTGGTCCCTCTGTGTACTCCTGCCTCCCCATCTCCAGTGGAGCCCGGCAGGTCTGCTGCAGGGGGACTGACTGCTCTGGGGTTCTTGTGAGGTTATAGGAGAAGGTTGGGGTGGCTGCAAAGAAGCACTTCCTGGAAAGGGGTGCACAATGTCAGCACCAAAGTGCACCTGATCTTAAGGCAGCCTTGGGCCAGCTTAGCTCCTAGCAGGCCTTCTCTCCTTTCCACCCGGACTGTGTGGCCTCACAGAGGGATTTGGCGTCACTTAAAGTGACTACTTGGAACATAGGTTCTCTCTCTTCTTTGATGAAAAAATTACTATGATTGAACACAACATCCACCTGCTGTTTCAGCATCAACAAATGAATGAGTCATGATGGATGAGGAGGAAAACCCACAAATGCTTGGGTGACTTAGGAAAAAAAAAAAACAAAAAACTTTGTTTAGAATAGGTGGATACAATCTCAATCTATTCATTGGGCAATGTTGTCCGTGAACCGTATCCCTGGACCAGAATGAGCCTAGGGGTGTGGCAGGGTAAGGACAGCCTGGTGTCCAAAGCTTGTCCTGTGTGCACAATTGTCTTAGTTCAAATGGGGCTGCTATAACAAATATCAGCAATCAAGTAGCTGCAAATAGCACACATTTATTTCTCACTGCTCTAGAAACTAGGAAGTCCAAGATCTGGGTGTTAGCAGGTTTGGGTCAGGCAAGGGCCCACTTTCTGGTTTGTAGATGGCACCTTTTTGTTGTTTCCTCACATGGAGGAAGGGGCAAGGGAGCTCTCAGTGTTCTCTGACAAATGGGCACTTGTCCCATTCATGAAGTCTTCAGCCTCAGGAGATGTAATTGTTTCCAAAGACCTCAGCTTCAAATACCATCCCCTTGAGGGTGACATTTCAGCATATGAATGAGGGGGACACACACATTAGGACCAGTGTGCTGAGATATGGCTTCCCTTCCTGACCCGGCACCTGGTGCTCCTACATAGTGGGAAGGAGGAGAGAGGCGCAGTCTGAGGCACACAGGCTTTTGAAACAAGTGAAGAATGCTTAGTTTCACCAAGAGAAAAGGTGCTCCATGGAAAAGATCCCTGACATATTTATAAAAATATCAGCGACATTGCAGATGCCATGGGAAAAATAGGGATGAGTTAGGGGCTGAGCTCTGGTTGTGTGTCTGCTGCCTCAAAGCTGGAACCTACAAGTTGACATCTCACTTATCTGGGTCTCAGTTTACCCACCTGGAAACTAAAACCATTATACTGGATGCCTTCCAAAGCCACTCTCAGCTATGAAACTCCTTGTTTGTTTTGATTAAAAATAATTATATTGCTATATTATGTGCATGCACAAATATGTAACAATGAATCCCACTATTAGATACAACTATAATGTACCTATATAAAAAAGAACATTTTTAATATAATAAATGCAACCAAGCTTCTTATAGAGAAATCAGAAAACACAGGTGGGTCAAAGAAAGAAAATTTAAAAAGTATAAAATCTAAAATTCTATTGCTGAGCAGTAGACATCACTTAAAAATGCATGTCTAGCCTCACAGGACTTTTAAAATTCAGCAGACATTTCCTTTAGTATTTATATTAAATTAAATACTTCAGGTATGGGACCCTATGAGATACATAGCATTACAATAAACTTATTTGTCACTTAACACACCATTGGCATTTTAACTGAAAAGACTCCATATGCAGATGCTCCACATTTGATTAGGGCCGAACATTGAAGGGGTTTCATCTTTTCCACTCTTGTGCATAAGGCTGCGGGGACGTGCTGCTGGCCACCCCTTCGTGCACATCTTTATTGAGTGCATCACTGTCTGTATCCTCCATTGTGGTGGTTGGAAAGGTACAAACGGGAGACGTGTACACACTGTGGACAGCAGAGGCCAGCATGTTCTGTCGTGTGTGGAGAGGAAGGATGTTGGGGTCAAAGCCCTGCCAAAGTCGAAGCCCAGGTGGGGGGCATCTCTGTGTCAGTCTGGCTCTGCCTGGCTGTGCCCACTGAGTGGAGAGTTGGGGGCTGAGCGTTTGGTGATGGGAGGTTCACAGTGACCATTGGAGGACCTGCCCCATGGGAAAGGGCCCATGGGAGGCAATCCTGTGTGGAATACTCTAGAGCCCAGGATTATCCCCATCTTATGGATGAAACTGGTGCAGAAAAAGGTTTAATAGTTTGCCCCAAATCGTGCCACCTATGTGTGCCAATTTTTCTGGAGGTGTGCAGAGTCTCAGGTACAGCAGTGAGTCATCCTGTTGCCTGGAAGTCAGGAGAATGTTCTCTGATAACAATCATTGCTCTACTATTCCCTGAGGAAAGAACGAAGGGGTTCTCCTTCAGTGACTCTTGGAATGCTCTTTCATTACCCTCCTCATTAGGAAAGGGGAGGAATTAAAAAAAACAAAAAACAACTGAGATCTCATAAACAAATCCTTGCAAGATCACCAAGTTAATAGGCCAAGAGCCCCCGAGTTCCTTCATAAGGAAAGAAACCTTGGGCTGGGAACGGGCTGGTGAGCTCTGAGAGCTCAGCACAGGTTGGTGCGAGACCTTAAGTGTGGCTTGTGCTATGAAGCAGAGGGAGGCCATCTGTACCCATTTCACAGATGAGTGCCCTCAGGGCCCCAGGGTGCAAGGGACGGGTCTGCTAGTGCAAGGCGCCAGCTGCAGCAGTGCTGGCGATTCCTTCTGGGTCTACGGATGACCATCCCTGCCTTACCAGCTCCACTCTTGAAAGGGTGGAATGAGGTAATGTCTCAGAACGTCCCTTGTAAACTATAAAATATTATATGTCTATGTGAGAGATTACTATACTTATAAAGCTAAATTATAGCAGATTTTAAATGAAAAGCTCAAATAGCCACGCTGCCGAATGCTAGCTCTTCATACTCATTTCCTGATGGGACAAAAGGAAGAATCGCGAATATGTACTGAGTTCTGCGGGGGGATCGAAATGCTTCTACGCTGTTAACCCATTGAATCCTCACAGGTGCTACAATTATCCCCATCTTATGGATGAAACGGTTGCAGAAAGAGGTTTAATAATTTGCCCCAAATCGTGCCACCTATGTGTGCCAAGTTTTCTGGCTCTCAAGTCTATGAGGTGTTCCTTGGTCACATAAAAATGTACCAAGGCCCCTCAAAAGAGGACTTGGGTATGGTTTGAACATTCATGGGTCTTCAGTAAGTCTAGGCAGCCCAAAGGCTTAACCCCTGTTTACCAGCAAGATTGGCTATTCCAGTTGGGGGTCCTTCAGCATTCCATGCTGGGGACTGTCCCAGGACAGAGAGATTTAGCTGACCCATGACCCAGAGGACCCCTTTCTTTCTGAGCCACATATGCAGATATCTCTGAAGATGGCCATCTCTCCTCACTGGCAATCATGAATTTTTATGAAGCCGGTCCAGAATTCCCAGAATCCAGTCGGGTGCACTTTGCAGACCCTAAAATGCTGTCACCATGGAAGGTTTCATTGCTTGCACCTGCTAAAACATTTGAGGCATTTGAGAGGCAGTGAAACACATTTGCTTTTCATTTTATCTGACTTTGGAAACCTTTGAAGTGTTTAATGGTGGAGCCCAGGAAAGATCTCCGCCTCTTAATCATTTACTCGTAAGGCACATTCTCGGCTGTAGCCTGTCAAGCAGAAACTGAACTGAGCCCACTTTTATTAAGTGTCACATGCCCAGTCACTGTTCATTAAAGGTGTTTTAAGGTTTGAATTATGTAATTTATGAGAAAAAGAAATAAAAATTCCATTGTTTTATTAATATGCAGCCCAAGATCTCTTGCTCATAACAAACTTGAAGGTAAGTTGGGCTAAAGGACATGAGGGGGCAGTTGGGGGTGGCCTTCCATCCTCCCACCATCTGTGCTGCCCTGGCCTCCCACATCCACACTGTACCACCCCAGGCAAGAGCATGGCCAGTGGCCATCCCAGCCTGTCCTCCCAAGCTCCCGTCCCCGAGGCCTGATGCCATAAGGAGAAGTTCTTTTCTCTTTGCATGTCCTCCACCTCTTTCCCAGAAATACCTGGAACAAAAAGCAGGAAAAAGAATTCCTCAAGAGATTCCCAGTAACCGTCATTGGGAACTAACAGGCCTCTGACTCAGGAGGGCAGCCAGAGGCTGGGCCTCGTGCATTTCCTGGTGTGCTAGGCACCTGCCCCAGGAGGATGATCTCAGTGCATCCTCACCATCCCTTAAGGGAAGAAGCAACTGCCCCCATTTTAGAGAAGAAAAAACAGAGTTAGCAAGATGTGGCCCAGGGCTGCCCTTGTCTTTTCCTCTCAGACAGAGAGAGCATCCTAAGCCCAGGTCAGCCTCCTCGGGATGGCGACACTGGGACCGCCGGGAGTGTGGACAGTTGGGGCAGCGTGGCCTTTCCTGGATTGGCAGTGCTGTGTAGAGGCCCCACAGACCTGTGCAGGGCCAGCTGCTTTCATGAAGGGCACTTTCCTCTTGGGGATCCTTGGCATGCGATTGGAACCTTATAGAATTCCACATCCTTAGAGGATTCGCGCAAGAGGTGCTCATGGAGTCTCCCTCAGCCCTTCCCCTTGAGGCCCCCACTCCTCTCCCCAGCTCCCGAACAAAGGTTGGGGAGCCAGCCACACGTGCCCTGGAGGTGGCTGTGAACTGGCCCAACACTTCTTCCTCGCTCTGTCTTCCCTGACCAGCAAATGAAGCCCTGATGGGAGAAAAGTCATTTTCCAAAGTGTGGGCAGCCCCAGAAATTTAGCCCTTGGTAAGGGTTTGCAGACCAGCACAGCTGAAGGGATTTCTCACCTCCACATGGCCCCACTTTCCTGCCCACACAGAGAGAATCAAGAACTTGATTTTTTGAGCATTTTTTTTAATCAAGTGACTCATGTGTTACAGGTGCAAAGTTGCACCAGGCCTTCCCTTTGGCTCAGATTTGAGAGTTTTTAGTTCTGAAAGAGATGTCAGGTGCTAAGGTTTTCCTAAGACGCCTAACAGGAACGGTGCAGAGTTTTGAGAACAGAGGACCTGTTAAAGTCTGGGCTGGGGCCTGGGCGGGGCAGGGCGAGGGCTGAATGAACTCCCATTTGGGAAATTCCCTTCTCCCAGCTGAATCAGAACAGGAAAGGCCCTGTTCGCAGCAGGTGAAGGGGTGGGCCAACCTGTACAAATCGACGTCAATCATTGACCCACTTAATTTCCAATGACCAGCTCAACTGATACTGCGATAGTGCTGGCTGCTGGCAATCTGGACCGTAGGAGCCGTTGGCTTTGATCTGCCAGCTCAATTTCCATTAGCAGTGAAACCACAGACCTCTGTGGGGCCACAGGCCGGAGGGTTGTGACGTCTCCCGGAGCCTCATGGGAGCCCTCAGCTGCTTGTCCTGATGCCCAGAGAGCTCTGTGTAGCGGCCCAAGAGTCCCTTTAGCTCACTGATGCTGCCTGTGTTCTTTGCATGAGGCCAGGCACTGTGACCCAATGAGGAAGGAGCTATTCCAGCTGGCGGGAGGGACCAAGGAGACAGGTGATTTCAGCACACAGGGCCCAGAGGGGGTCTGGATGGGGGCTGGATGGGGGCACGCAGGCGACCATGGGGGCTGCAAGGGCATCAGGGAAGGCTTCCAAGAGTTGGCGAGGACAAAGCGGAAGCTGGGAGGAAAGGTGGCTCGGCAATGGCAGAAAAGAAGGTGCAGAAGGAGCCTCTGTGCCCTGAGGAGTCTGGAATTTGTCCAAGGGAGTAGGGAGCCATGGCTGGGCCTCAGGAGGGTGGACGACGCAAAAGATGAATTGGCTAGAGGGCAGAGAGGGCTGGGGAAGGGCCCACTTAGAGCAGTGAGACCAAGTTGGAATTTGACGGCCGCGGGGCATTTGGGTCAAGCAAGGCCTAGCCCGGGCACATGTGCTGTTCAGGAGAGATTCTGCCGGGAGTCCAGGCCTGGGATAGGACCAACCCCCGAGGGCCACTAATGGCAGGGCTCCACGGCATTGTCTGGGCTCCTCCTCCAAGGTGAAAACTCAGTGGAATGGTGGGGGAGGACACACGAGGAAGAGAGCTCAGGAGACAGATGTAAGTGCACCCCTTCCTCATCGCCTAAGATTTAACTAACTCGTTGGAGTTGGGCTATTTTGGGGTCTGAAATCTGAGGTAAGAATATTCCTTGGACTCCAGACATGCCTCGGGTTAAGAGTTGGACCAGGCAGCCATGGGCTGTGGGCAGGGCTCAAAAGCAGGTGGCCATGACAGATGAACCTGGGTGGCATAAAACCTCTGTCAAGCAGCAGGATGTCTTGGCCTGAGTGTTGAAGACTGTTTTATTTTGTTGTTGTTGTTGTTTTTTGTTTTTCCTCATGAAGATTCTGTGGTAAAGAGAGGAAATCACTACATTCTAGAAAATTCTCAGGCCTTTCTTGCAAAAAAAATGTTTACTGTGAATCTCATGTAAGCAATTATTTTTAAATTAAATGAATACTTACTGTGTCCTGGCACTTTTGCATATTTTCACAAGTGAGTTCATTTAAATTCCCCATCCCTGAGAAGTGGGGACCGTTATGTCCATTTTCACTGATGGGGAAATTGAGGCCTAGAGAGAATAAACCAAAGGTGCAAGGCTGCATGACTGAGAAGTGGAAGACTTGGGCATTGTCAAGCATGACAGGGAAGTTCAGCCATGGCTGAGTCAGTCTCTAGGGATTCCTGTCATGGAGGTGCCGGTGGAGAAACATCCGGCTCTGCAGGGGTGCCGAGTTGCGTGAGCAGGCACAAGGGTGTCTGGGAGAAGCGAGGCACCCTCTGTGTGCAGAATTCTGCTTTCTGGACCTAATGGTGGCCCCTCCCTTCACTGGGCAGTTTAACAGGAAGGCTCCAGCTGCCGGCTTGGGTTACATGCTCTGAATTTCTGTACATCTTCCTATTGACTGAACAATGCTGCTCACTTAGATGAATCCAATTATCAAGGCTTTTCAATGGAGGGATGCAGTGCTGCCTGTCTGTGCAGCCTGAAGAGGAGAGAGGGCGTGACCTGGCCCACCCTCTGCCTGTCTCCATGGAGGGCCCGTGACAGGGGAAAGGAGGACCATGGAGGCTGGAGGGGCATTGCCTCCTGCTGTCCAGGTCTGCTCTGAAGGGTTCCCGTGGCCATGGGGCTAGGCAGCAGCCACAGCAGGACTCAAGGTGAGGGCTGACCTGGGGGAAGTCAGATGCAGTGGGCAGGGTGGTGTTTACCCCTCAGCTGGCAGAAACCAAAGTGCTAGCACACAGCTCCAGAAAGCTGACCCAGGGCACCCCCCTGGGATGCCACAGTTGCTTTGTCCTGGGGTGGAAAGAAAGAGACAGAACCCCTTCTGACTGTATAGCAAGCCCTGGGGGAGAAGCAAGGGCACTCTGCCTCTTTTCTGGGCTGGCCACTATGCTGGGCACCCTGTAGGCCACTCTCCAGGATGAACGAGGTGACCTACATTTCACAGAGAACACTGAGGCTCGCAAGCAGAACTTACTGTGCACGATCTCAGGATGGAGGTGGGGGACCACTTACTGATGACTCAATCCAAGGAGTGTTGGGACCTCACAGAAGGGAGAGGGTTTGGGTGGGTGGGGTCTGTTTTAGAAGATGTATAAAAATGTGACTGGAAGCAAATTTTCATCATCTCAGAGGGATTCTGTTCTTTATAAAAGCAGTGCCCCTGCTTTCTAACTTTGAGTACATGGAGTATTTCCAAAATATCCCAGTTTGAAGTTTAATCTACCACCATCAAGATTTTGAGTCAAAGTGACATTTATTCTGGAGGGAAAGGAAACAAGCAGATGCCCCAGTGAGAAAGAAGACAGGTCCTGGCTTGCCACACAAGGGATGCAAATTCAGTGTTGTGAGAATTAGCCCCCAGTTGCCACCCAAATGCTGGGGGTGGGTACAGGGGACCAAGCCAGGTGTCCCTTCCCTGAGGGCAAGAGGTGACAAGATAAATGAACGAGAGAGGGCTAGCCTGCACTACCCCTCTAGGCTGCCCAGGCCTTTCCTGAGTGACCTGTTCACTCCAGGTCTTGTATTTCGGTCTCTCAAGGTGTGATTCAAAGACATAATCTTAGGAAGACAGAAATTCCACTTAAACTTAAAAATTCATAATTTCATTTCAATAATATAAAAATGATTCTTTAAGGAGAAATTTGGATGCATCTCAATTGCAATGATCATAACATAAGACTCATTTTACCGGGTCTCAAATTGGGGTCCAAGATAAGTTCTCCAGAACGTATGAATCATTTTCTCTTTAAATGGAGTCCTTGCATGATTGGAGTTTGAGAAACATGGCCCTCGGGTCAAATGATACTCCAAAGCCCCAGAGATCAGAAACAGTGAACCAATGTCAAGGGAAACCCCTGATCACCCTACTCAGGGCCCAGAGATGATAGAAATGGAAGAAAATCCATTAGCCTGCCTGGCCCTTCTTCCCAGGCTTCCCTGCAAAGCCTGGCTTCAAAATTGATGAAACATGGCTGAAGTAGCAGGGCTGCAAGCAGGGGGACCCAGAAGGGTCCCCAGAAACCCAGTCATACACCAAATAGGAGTTCTTTCCTAACCAATTCCCTGATTCTCTCTAGGGGCAGCTCCTGGAATGTGACTGAGTTTCCAAAGGTCACACACTGTGCTTTAAAAGTGACTAAGTAAGATTGGGGTCCCAGTGCACGCTGGGGATCTTCAGCCTTCTCCGTCACAGCAGAGCTCTGGCTGGCCTAATTGCTGGGTGTGCCATCACTGGTAATAGAAATACAGTTCTTGATACAGCCAAGGTT